GCGAAGGGGAGAGGGTTTCGCCCAGGAGTGTGGGAGAAGTCGTGTCCCCCTTTTGGGTCGGATCGAGGCACCCAGTATCTCATGCTTGAAACCCTCTCTTCTTCTCTTTCACTCTCTTTCCTTTTTATGTGATATGGACTCTAAGCAGAAGAAAGGATCAGACTTTTCTTTTTCTTTTTTGTCTCGATCCTTTAACTACTTAAAAGCAGGCAAACACTATACAGTTGAGCTAAGCCAGGTTACGGTGGGTAGATTGGTGAGGTTTGTGATGCAGGTAGCTTGATTAACCTGGGCACTAGCTTCCTAATTCTCATTCTGATCTCTTTCTCAATCCCGTGGCTTTGACTTAGGATCAATTGTTTAGTGTTTGCCTCACCTTTCAAAATAAGTCAATAACTCTCATTGTAGGTTTATGATCAACGTCACGTCAAAACTGCGTGTGTAATCTGATGATTTAATAAAAATAATGCTTTAAAATTGACATGAAATTAGCAAAGTTTTAATTCTGCATTGTGTTTTGTGGCTTGAGTGTGAGTGTGTATTGTTACTACCACAATTTGTTTCATAATTTGAAAATGGTACACCATGTTCTTAATAATTAAACATGTTTCTTATATAAGTGACACAATTCATACATGCTCCTCATATAGGTGACCCAAATTTACACATGTTCCTCATACACATTTTGTTAGATTTTAATGGTCCTAAACATGACCCTAAACTGTTTTTAAGTTTAGCTAATGTTCATATGCTAATTATTGCATATGTAAATGTATAATATTATATTACGTTTTGGTATGCTTGGCGTGTCACACTGCATAGTCACGTAGCGTAAAATTGTAACGTCTTGCGGTCTCTACTTTTGCTTTCTTTCAACCGTATTCATCATCATTGGATCATTCCATCTGCTTTTCAAAGCATGCAAGAAGGAAGACCTATTTTGTAATCATTGGGGTAGCTGCTATTTGTCACATTTGATCATAGGGTGAGAGGTTATCAATCAAGAACAGATTTACTTTCTATGAACAGCTCTTCAGAAAGACAGCAGGCTCTGATCAAGGAGGTGGTTGCTGTGAACACAGGACTTACCACTATTGTCATATCATGCATCACTACTCTACACTTCTCCTGTCAGTTTACAATCGGATCATTTCTGTATTACTAGCTGTCTTCCGGTGGGGAGAGGAGAAAGGAGAGGAAAACATATCATAGCTACTTTGGATTCAATGAATACACGAGCATATTTTTTCACTGTATGGGATGAGCTACCCTTTTTCACAGTGGCCTGCTTTTAGTCCCGATCATGTGAGAGAGAAGGGGAGGGTCAGCAGAGTGGAGAGGGTTTCACCCAGGAGTGTGGGAGAAAAAGTCCCCCTTTTGGTTCGGATCAAGGCACCCAGTATCTCATGCTTGGAACCCTCTGTTCTTCTTTTTCCTTTTTGTGTGTTATGGACTCTAAGCAGAAGAAAGGAGAAGATCGACTTTCTTTTTCCTTTTTGTTTTGATCCTTTAACTACAGGACTTACCACTATTGTCATATCATGCATCACTACTCTACACTTCTCCTACAGTTTACAATCAGATCAGTCCTCTATAACTAGTTGTCTTCTGGTGGGGAGAGGAGAATAAGAAGAACAAAGTTTATTCACAGTGAGTGGATTGGGAAGGTCTGTGATGAGGGTTGTTAATGGACTTTGGCACCAGCTTCCTAAGTCTCATTCTCTTTTTCAATACTGTGACAGCATTGGCTTAAGCTCATTTGTTTATAGTATTCGCCTTTGAAAATAAGTCAATAGCTCTCATTGTAGGCTTATAATTAACGTAACGTCAAATTTACGTGCACGTGATTGGACATTTTGATGCAAATGACACTTTAAAGTTGACACAATATTATAGCGAAATTTCAATTCTGCATTGCATTTTGTAATGAGTGTTTGTTATTTTATAGCCAACACAAGTTATTTCATAATTATTATTATTGTGTATTATTAGTACTATAAATATGAACATCGTCGTAGATTGTTAAGATTATTGTTATTACATTAAGGTTATAATAATAGACAAGGGTCATATACAGTAATATGGTAGGAAGCAATGGTAATAGATTATTAGTTAATAGTATGGTATTTAGTATTAAGTTAAGTTGTCTTATGTTATGTGGTCATACAGCATAAGTTGTAGGTAGTAGGTAATGTTATGGTATTGAGAGAGGAATGTACTTTGTATAGCAATGAGGTTAGTATGGTATAGGTACATGATATGGTTTTTATAGTGTCATATTAAGGTTCATAAGTGATAAGTCTGTGTAGGCAATGAAGGATAAGAACATACCCACTTATATAGCAAGGTTAATATATGATGTAGATAACATTAATGGTTGTACATAGGTAATAGTATAGTATTAAGATATTATACTGGTATAGCAGAATTAATGCAATGTATTGTGTTGGTATCATTGTGTCATATTAAGGATTGATCATAATGTTATAAGTTGTATGCATAGAAATGGTACGCTATTAAGATTAAAAAATGTACTTATACATTTGTATATAGGAAGGTTAATAATTATGGTATAGGTCTATAATTTGGTTTTCATCAAATGGTTTTGGTATGTAAAGGGTCATAGGTTATATAAGTAACTGCAGTGTGGAGATATCTCACTATTCAAGTATTTTCTCAACATGTACATGTTTAACTGTTATTGGTGTGTTTGTATAATATTAGTTGTCCCTTACTGGTTCTGTATGTATGTACATGTACCAGTGCCCATATTTCATATTCTTGTTTTAATATGTTAGTGTCTGCATGTACATGTGTGCATGATAATATATTATTATGTTTTTGTTTGTGTTTGTACACGTGTTGTCGTGTTTGTACACGTGTCCTCACGTAGCGTAAAACTGCAACGTCTCCTGGTCTCCAGTCTTGCTTTCTCTGGACAATGTTTGTCATCATTGGATCACTCCACCTGCTTGCAAGAAAACTTCAATCTTATTTGGTATTTTCAATCACATCGAAGTATCATTTGTTACCATGCATCATGAATTAATTCAGTACCTTGTGAGAGCTAGTGTATCAATCAAGAACATTCCATATGATTTACTAATGGCTCTTTGGAAGGACATCAGCTAACAAGGAGGTTGTCATTGATGTGGACACAGCTATAGTACTTTCCACTGCTATCATAGCATTGAGGCTCAAGCATCCAGCACTAATCTACAGTTTACAATATTAATTGGATCTTCATCTAATACTAGCATTCTGAGAGGAGGAAGGAGAAGAACTGATAGACTACCAGAGGAGGAGAGGAGAACATATTTGATTAAATGAAGACATGAGCATATTTTTCACTGTATGGTTTGAGCTACCCTTTTTTACAGTGACCTGCTTTTAGTCCCGATCATGTGAGAGGGAAGGGGAGGGTCAGCGGAGGGGAGAGGGTTCGCCCAGGAGTGTGGGAGAAGTCGTGTCCCCCTTTTGGGTCGGATCGAGGCACCCAGTATCTCATGCTTGGAACCCTCTCTTCTCCTCTTTCACTCTCTTTCCTTTTTGTGTGATATGGACTCTAAGCAGAAGAAAGGATCAGACTTTTCTTTTTCTTTTTTCATCTCGATCCTTTAACTACTTAAAAGCAGGCAAACACTATACAGTTGAGCTAAGCCAGGTTACGGTGGGTAGATTGGTGAGGTTTGTGATGCAGGTAGCTTGATGAACCTGGGCACTAGCTTCCTAATTCTCATTCTGATCTCTTTCTCGATCCCGTGGCTTTGACTTAGGATCAATTGTTTAGTGTTTGCCTCACCTTTCAAAATAAGTCAATAACTTTCATTGTAGGTTTATGATCAACGTAGCGTTGAAATTACATGCGTGTGATCTGACGTTTTGATGCAAGTAACGGTTTACGTTGACACGATATTTGCGAAATCTCAATTCTGTGTCAAGTGTCTATTGTTATTTTATAGGATGCACAATTAATTCTTAATGTAATAATTATTCTTGATAATATGCACATTGTGTGGTAGATTGTGTATTAAGACTACTCATTATGTTGATGTTGTAGAGGTTAAAATATTTAGACAGTAGTGGTGGGAGGCAGAAATAGGTCATTAGATAATGATACAGTATTAAGATAACTTGTCTTACATTGTGTATACAAAATAAGTTGTAGGTATAGGTAGGTATTGTAGTAGAAATTAGGAAGCAGGTATAGTTATATTAGGCTATGGTGTAGTTATTGTGTAGTAGAAATTAGAAAGTAGTTATAGTATAGAAATTAGGAAACAGGTAGTTATAGGATACAGGTTATATAGTGTACGTATAGGTTATAGATCTAGGTTTTATGATTTATTATTATTTAATTATTATCGTTTATAATTATTTGTTATTTTTTATGATTTATTATTATTTATTATTATTTATTATTATTATTTTTACAACCGGGCCTCAGCAAGAGTGTTGGGCCTCAGGTTATCTATATTTTTGGGTAGCAATGTAGTGCCGCCTCCACGTGGCGCTGCCTGGGATCACTAGTGGTTACTACTGCTAGTGATGCTAAGAGCACTACATACAAGAAGAATAACAATACTAACAGTAAGTTTGTGTAAAAAATTTAATATTACCATTGATAGGTTCAAGCTGAAATAAAGATGAAATGTCAAGTGGATTGATGCTCAAGACTGAAGCTAGAGATTTATATACTAGTTTTAATTTTTTTTGAAAATAATTCTTTTAAAATTTTGATTGCATGCATTTATAGCGATTTGAACTGTCATTGCCGGTTCTACAACTACTGCTGTGCAGCACTGCTAAATGAGCCACCAACACATGCACACATCTTTTTATAATGAATGTACAAAATATTATGTTGTGTAGAAATTCTAATTCAAATTTTAATTTTTAAGGTTCCTAATTTATGTCAAGATGTGCATGTATCTATATAATTAGTTGAATTCAGTAAAAGTTAAAATGTTTGTCATTAAAAATGAACTAATCTTGAAGACTTTACCAACTGCAGTCACTCCAGTCTCCTAGTAGTGGTATATAAGGGCCAGCTACTATCTCTGATGACATGCATTGTTTTAATTGGTAGCTATAATTATACATGCTTTCAAAATGGCTGTTCAGGTATAGTTAAGTGCTTTGTTTACAGAGGGAAAAGAGAAGCTATCCACTCCTCCAGACCCACCACAAAGAAAGAAAGAACATACTAAGACTTTAAAGAAGGAAGTGAGCGGGACAGAGCCCGAGATAAAGAGAGAGAAAGCCACAAAGAGACAGGGTAGTTTACTAGGACTATTAAGTACAACCAGAAATAGAAATACTACTAATAATAAGAATGATCCTCGTACAGTATTTATTGGTAACATTCCTCTAGCAACTAAAAAGAAGGACATACTCAAGCTGGTCTCCCTGTTTGGTTTGATTGAACGATCAATTGCTGTTTCTCCTGGTAAACTTCCTGTTGAAGTTGCTAGGAAACTCAGAAAGCAGTTGACAGGAGCGAACGACTACTAATTTCTATGTTGTTATAGAGACAGAGGAGTCTGGCAGTCTGCTAGTGCTTGTTTGGAGTTGAATGGATGAGAGGTTGACGGGAGGCATCATATTAGGGTTGATCTGGCCACACCTACTAATGACACTCACTGTTCTGTGTTTGTAGGTAATGTACCTTTTGGGACTGATGAAGAGAAACTGAGAAAAGTATTTGAGTAAGTACATGTACATGTATGTAGTATTTACGTAACGTTCATGTGCATAGAATGTTATTGGAGAATTCTCTCCTTGAAATTTTTGGTCAAAGACCCTGTATAGGGGCTATTGCTCAATTTTTGAGTAACTTTAGAAATTTGTAAAAAAATCAAAACTTGATAGGAATTAGCTCAAACTTTCTACGCAACATAAGAACATGTACATTGTATATGCATCAGAAAATGTAATTTAAATGAGGAATTTAATCCTTGACATTAATTTTTTGGCGAAATTTGGCTTCAGACCCTGTACTATAGTACAGGGACATTTGCCCGATTTCGGAGCAACTTTGAAAATTTGTAAAAAATCCTAACTTGATCAGAATCAGCTTAAACTTTTTACATAACATAAGTACATGTATATGCATCAGAAAATGTAATAAAAATGGAGAATTTTCTTCTAGTCATTTTTCATGAAATATCCTTTACTATTATTATTATACATGTATAATAATTATTTATAGTATAAGATTTGGTCAAATTTGTTGATCAACTAATTCATAAAAAATCCATTTTGATCAGAATAAAATGGTTTTAAAGTCATTATTCTCTTTTCCCCCCTCATTTTATCATTTTCCTCCCTCCCCTTTTCTCCCTCAGGTCCTGTGGTCTTATTGATGGCATTCATATCGTTAAAGACACTAGGACTGGCATTAACAAAGGGTTTGCTAACTTTGCTTATGTCAAATTCAAAGACAGCAGCGCTTGCAAGAATAACGAGAGAATTGAACTAGAGGGACCGAAACTAAGAGTCTGTTGCTGTCACAGCGATAAGTCAAAGTTCCAGACTAAATTTGGAGGAGCCAAGTCCCAAGCTGGTCGTAATAAGAAGTTTCTCAAGTCGTTCCAACCTTCAAAGAGAAAGGGAAAGACTGATAAGAAGAAGACTAAACTGAGTAGGAAAGAGAAATCAGTTAAAAGGAAAGAGAAACCAAGAAGAATAAATAAATAGATAAATTAATAAACATATGTAAAGAATTATAATGCATTAATTACTTTTCTAATTAGCACTATGTTACTAAAGTATACCAATTATCAGATGATTTCCTCCTCACTTTAAGATTAACTTTTGATAATTTATACAATATAAGCCATAATGTACATGTCCCAAGCGATAGTTACCACAGAAAACACTTGCCTAAGTAATTGACTCATCTATTTTACTGTTAATCCAAATGCTGTACTATAGTCAGTCATTAGCTATGCCTCTCTTGTTAGTGGTTGTTCTCTTATTCTTCAGTAGCTCCTGCAGTGTCTCCTCTGGTCAGTATTATGTGTCTGATGACTGCAGTTCAGTTACTCAATCACCTTGTAATCCTTTATCAGTGAATGATGGGAAGATGTCTCAATACAGTAACACCATCTTCTACTTCATTGGAACTACTAACATTAGATATTATGTTGTTACCATGACTGCAGTAAAGAATGTTACTCTACATGGACTGGATCAGTCTCCTAGTATTAACTGCAATGGAGTTTTTTTCTAAAACTAGCATTCTGGTATATTACAGTAATGATGCCACCATTTATTTCTAACATATCGTTCAGTGATTGTTCACTGGAGATTCATTCATCCAACAATATTACAATATCTAGTGGCTTTTTCTTTGGATCAAAATCTGGCACATTGCAGCTATATAATGCTTTTGATGTTACAATATCATCATCAGTTTACAATGGCTATAAAATAAACATTTACTATGAACCTCTTCCAGTATGTAGTGATGAATTACCCCATTACTCATTGATACTGACTAATGTTAACTTGACTCAGTTATGCGATGCTGGTGAAATGGAACTAGTAATCAATCATGGTAACTCATACAATCTATCAATCATTTTGATCATTTTTATTCTGTACAATGTTTTACATTAGAATTGTTTGAAAGTATCTTTAATTTTTTATTATCAAGTCTTCATTTCACAATAATACTCTATATATTGGCTTTTGTGTTTACTTTGGTGAAAATTCAGCTCCCACTCTAAATGCTCATATCCTGGTATTACGTTATCAAATCATGTTTGATGCTTGACAATGAAGCAGGGTTATTTATTGATGCAACATTTTTGAGATTCCTTCAAATCAATATAATAGACACTAAACTCATTAGAAATAGAGGAAATAAGATAATGAACAGTAATGCTATTAGTCTTAGTAATGTTACTGTTGCTAACAGTACCTATACAGGATAGACACTTGAAAAATCATTAGTAACAATTAAAAGTAATTTAATATTTAGGAACAATACTGGAGTAGTTGGAGGAGGATTAGCAATAAATGACTCATCACAATTGATGGTATCATCATCAGCTAACTTAGAGTTTATTGATAATCATGCTTCTTATATATAAAGGTGGAGGGATCTATGTTGAACAGTCATCAGATAGTGATATAAGATTAATAGCACCAAATATACCTCTTACATTGATAAATAATAGTGCTGGACTGATTGGTGGTGATATGTATTGTATGACATACAATCAGTTTAACTTCACTAACCCACGCATTAGTTCAACTGGTAATCCAGTGTCATTGTGTTTTTGTGATTCTCAAGCTATCAATATTACCAAGAGTACATGTTACTAAAAGCTGTTTTTTGTAAGTGAACAACACATTTATCAAGGTCAAACACTGAAGTATTATGTGGCTTTGTCAGGTTACGATTACTTTGGATCACTAACTCCAACAGATGGCACAGTACAAGTATTTAATGACAATAATTTGCTGAATCAGACATATATTCCCAATACTTGTTCACTAATTGAATACACACTAAACTGACTCAAACAGGACACTAAAGTGACTTAGCACTAGCACCACCTTTACTCACTGCAGACGAAACTTACCCTGATTTCATTGGTAAAGAGTGTCCCATTGGTTTCAGGTTAGATAAGTCACAAGTTTCCTGTACTTGCAGTCAAAAGTGTTTCAAGAGAGAATGTGACATGTTGTGATATAACTAGTCTAAACATTACACACAGGTCTACTGTGAATTGGAACATATGATACCAGTACACCTTTCAATGCTAATGCAACCAATCCTAATGCATGCATTATCAATGAGGACTGTCTCCTCTATTGTTCTCCTAATCCTGTTACCTTCAAGTTGAATGACACTGATACTCAATGTGTGACTCTTTCTCCTGAGAAAATGGAAGAAGCTCAATCTGCAGGCATACACAAGAAGTTTAAACTAGTCAGTAACATGATTAGTACTGGCATTATGGTAGGCAATCAGAACCTTAGTTGTATTTTATAATTAAAATTCTCATTTTCTTAATTATTAGATCCTTTTTGATTACAATGGCTGTTTAAAGAAGTACTATGGGGAGATTGAAATTCTTAAAGAGTTTTATGATGTATGCATGTCTGACCTTATATCACAAAAGAAAGGAATATTTAGTTAGAGAACTTACTGCAGAGTTTCTACGTTTACAAAATCAAGCACATTTTATAACCGAGAAAATTCAAGACAAACTTAAAATTGGTTAGGATTTTTGTTTTGTCCATTCATAACATTTGTTATTTACAGAAGGTAAAAAGATGAACAATGCGATATCAGAATTAGAGTCACAGAGATATGATAGTGATCCAGTTAAAGCATGGAAGAAAAGCTTATCTGATCAACCAACAGTGGAGGAGGAAGATCATGAGAGCACTCCTGAAAGTGGACCAAATTATAACTAACTCCTGTCTATATGCCATTTTGGAGTGTGACAGAAGAGAAAGCAGAAGAGCTATTGCAAACAAGAGATAAAAAGGTACATGTGATAGTTTAATTGATGCAATGAATGCATGTAAGCCTGCTATTTATTTTGTGCATTTTATTATTTTAGCATTTCTGCTGTATTTGGATTTTTAAAGTTTTTTTGAGCTATAATTTATAGGCAATTTTATTGTACATGTAGGTTGAAGAGCTGGAAGAGCTCAAGGGAAAATCAGCAACAGATTTATGGAAAATGAATTTGGGACAACTTTCTTACATGTTTAGATGTGAGCTTTTCATGTAGATGTAACTTAGTCTATGGTGCTATACTCTTTAAATGATAGGAAGTTGAGGAAAGAGAACATCAGGAAGAGTCAGCTGGTGCAGCTATTGTTGTTAAGAAGAAAGGTAAAGAAAGACAAACAAAATTGACAGGTAATGTCTTTTTATTTTCGTTGTTTTTATTTTCCTTCTTTATTTCACAATTACTGTATAATGAAATTTAAGGCTCAGCTACAAAAGGTTCTACTTCAGCTGCAGTAACTAAACCATCGGCTTTTGCAGAGGTTGTAACACCTGAAATACCAGAGTTTTGCGCTGAAAAAGTAAAAAAGGAGAGAGCAACAAAGTCCCAAAGAGCTAAGGCTGATGACCCTGGTCAGATAAAGTTGCCGTTTAATTCCATTGAAGAAATGACTACAAATGAAACAGGAACTAAAACTGTTAAGGATGAGAAAGTTAAGGATGAGAAAGTTAAAAAATCTGCAGAAGACTCACACACTTCCAAGAAAGAACCATCACCAACTGATGCATCGCAGACAACTTTGAAGTTTCATGCCGAGAGTAAGAAGAGAGTTTATCACTTCAGCAGTGACAGCAGTGAAGATGATGCTGTATCTGATCACCATAGTGATGATATTTTCATTGCAAGTCTGACAAAGAAAGCAACTAAAACAACAAAAACTAAAAAACAGGCTGTTGCTGATGAAGTTCCTACTAAGACACCTGCTGTCAGTAAAACAAAAAAACAGCTTTCAGTGAAAGTCACTTCAGTCAAAACTGACACAAACATTAAGAAACCAGTGACTAAAGGTGCAAGTAGTAAAGTAAATGCTAAGGAGACAGAGATTGATGATGATGTTTGTATCATTGACGAAGGGTCTCCTGTCAAGAAAAACACTAAGGCAAAGTCAACCAAGGCAAAGGCCCCAAAGAGGAAAGTATCTGATTCTGAGAGCGATACTGAAGTACATGTAGTTCCTGTAGTTGAATCACCTGTGTGTTCCAAGCATTCTGGTGAGAAAGTCAAGTACTACTTCAGCGATGATGATGATGATGATTACAATGACAGTGATTTTGATCAGTAGACTCCAATAATATCACATTATGTATGGGCACATTATAGAAATACATGATACTTATTACAGTTTATTTAATAATAAAATTCCTTATTTTAGAATAATAATAATAATAATAATGATCCTACAACTCATCATGATCAACAAAAGAGTATCGTGAATTTGCAGGTTTAAGTTTTTTAAATGTGCTTTCAGGTGGCTGCTACCCAGCAGCCACCTGAAAGCACATTTATGTTCCTCTTTTGGTGGTTGATGAGGCTAATATTGAAAGTGAAATTTTGATGTTAAATGTGAGAGTATTGAGTCAAAGCTTACATCTGGTCTGTAGTGAAATTCCTGATGAAATTTCCCACAACTCTAATATCTATGATATGATGGCCAGTAATAGCTGCACCTCCATTTGATTACATCCCTGCAAGAGACCTATCTGGCCTCTATATTCTTTTGTAATCAACTAGCTACAACATATTCATTCACAATAAAGATGTATTTACAATTATAATGAACTCACTTTACCATTTTGTATAATCTTAATAATCTATGTCTTAATAAAACCATCCCTCATCTTTAGTACCAGTGAATGTCATCAATGTCTTGAAATTATCGGCTGACAAAGGCTTATTTGGATTCTTTAGATTCCAGTTCCAGAGTATTGCTGCAGCATAACAAGGAGAAGGACTGGGCAGGCCAAGAAATGAGGACAAATCTATCCAAGGTATGGCCAGTTGCTTTGGTAACTATCACTTAAATCATCTTCCCCACCTTTCCAGATATATCCTTGAGAAATGTAAGTTATGACAACATAAGCTTTTTGCCAGTGCTGCTTGGTTGGCAGTGAGGTCTCATTGACTGTTAGGAGGGGAAGCTCCCAGACCTTTTCTCTTAAGGTGGGCATTCACTATGCAGCACTGTTGCTTGCAACTTGTGGTTAAACCTTTGATGTGGTTGGGCAACATGTTGCATGAAGTTGAGACACTCTCAACTTCATGCAGTATGTTGCACAACCACATCAAACATACTGGCAACAAAGTTGCATTGTGGATGCCCACCTTTAGCTTGCATTCTTTAATGAGGCTGACTGGGTAAGGCATCAGCAATACACTCCTATTGCTCAAAAGGTTCTGAGAGGCGTGCTAATGGCTTAGCTACAGGAAGAAATCCATGAATCAAGTCAGAGTTTTTCATGTTTTAAGTTCAGCCACACCTTCAAAGAGTGAGTTTGGGTCAATCTAATGAACAAATATTCCCAATGATTGATCTAATAATGATGCAAGAGGCCAGGTATGTAGTTATGTAACAAATTTCAGTTTGGTGTTTGCTATTAATAGCGAACACCAAACCGACATTTGTTACATACCTAGCCTCTTGTGTCATTATTAGACCAATCATTGTGAATATTTTTTAATCAGATTGACCAGGATATGTTATTTTTGGGACAAGTAAAGAGAAATGATTGCAAGAGTAGATATATCCCTCATGTCACTTGTACTCTGTTTGATGATATGTCATTCTTCTTCACAAATTTCATCATGTAAGTGCCTTAGAAATCATAATCTGAGTGTGTATAACTTGTATATAGTTTATGATGTGACTAATTCTTCTCCTTTTAATGGATCAAATCTCACTACAACTGATCCTAACTGTCCTACTCTGATGAATTGCTTTGGTAATAATTCTAAACTAACTGATGGAGACTTTGGTCCAATGGATTCAGTCATTGGTCAATTAGAAAGATTCTTTGCTTTTAATCAAAATAACAGTAGACTGACCTTCAATGTGCCCTCTGCTGTATCAACAGTAGTACTGTATTTCTTTAATTCTCCTGCTGACGGCATTGGACTGCCTCAGTTAAAGGTTATTTTGGCTGACAGTGTTTTTCCTTATTTCTTCTCTAATAATGATGAACTGACACTAACTGACTCTCAACTGAGATCTATCACATTGCTTCTTAACCAAAATTTATTAACATTTCAAATTGATTTCATATTCCCAGTCAACAGCAGAATCAATTGGTTTTTAGTCAGTGAAGTTCAGTTCTTTGCTGGTAAGATACTTAATGTGTGATTGATGTATAATTATATTTTCATTAACAGGTACTCCTGTGTCTCCTCCAATGGAAGATATTGTATTTAAGGATGGTAGTATCAGTGTAATGACATTTGGACCAGATAGCATTCAGTCTTCAATCAGTATCAACTGTACTGTACTCAATAATGGATCATTTCACTGGAACTGGCTATTCAATAATACTATACCTATAACTGATGAATTATTCATTGAAGATGCTACCAGAACAAGTATACTGTACATTAATGGTCTTTCTTACTCTATTGAAGGAAACTACACTTGTACTGCTAATAGTACTGCTGGGAGTATGTCATCAAGGATAATCATTGTCAGACTGGAAGGTAAGTTTAGTATAAACTTTGTAATGCTCATCTGTTTTCCTACCATGTTTGACTACACCACATGCAGACTGTACAGTTACCATTACTACTGACATTAATATTAAATTTTTTTAGGGACTGGAATCACATCATCATTCACATATTCCTCAAAATCACTTTTGTATACATCTACTCCATTAGATCTACATACTTCATTCACTTCACTTGGCACAAGTCACATGTTCACTTCAGTGGCTTCACCTTCTCCATTAACTTGTACATTATCTGGTTGTGAGAGGTGTGACACTACTAGCTCTAACTGCTGTCAGGTTTGTTCATCTGGCTATAGCTTCATCAGCGACAGCTGTGTTTGTGGTATGTAAGCCTATTATCAAATAATATTACTATGATTCATATGCACTTCTATATAGGCATTCGAAGTACTGCAGGGATACCAGTTTGGAGTATAGTTATTATCTCTGTGTTTTTAGTAATAGTTATTGTCACTGCCTTACTGTTGATTATGTGTACTTTTGCATTAGTGAAAGTGAAGCAAAAGAATACACAAAGTGATCAGCCATTTTACGATTATAGTAAAATAATACATTAATAATATACTCAGTCCTTTTATTTATATAGTTGGTGTTCAGCAAAGAACTGGTGCTAATGTACCTGATCCTGTTACAGGACACAATTCATTTTCACTCAATCATTCAGTGGACGTGCAAACAGATCACAATCCATGCTATGCAGTAGCAATGGAAGAAACTCAACTAGTCTCCAACCCCAGTTACGCCTCAACTACCACTCAGCAAAGAGCTGATGCTACTGTACCTGATCCTGTTGCAGGACACAATTCACTTCCACTCAATCATTCAGTGGACATGCAAACAGATCACAATCCATGCTATGCAGTAGCAACGGAGGAAACTCAACTAGTCCCCAACCCCAGTTACGCCTCAACTGCTACCATTCAGCAATGACCTCAGTGGCTCCTGGTGGCTCCAGTTGGGTTAATGTGCCGAATATTAGTGTAAACTGATTAATCATAATTTAAAACTAGTCATTGAAGTAGAAAAATGGTGACTCGAGATAATGTCATGCATTAATAGCACTCTTGTTTGCACCTTTTAAAGTTATCTACAGCCATTGACACAATGATAATAATCAATAAGATACTTGTTATAGAACCATTATGCCTTTTTTCATTTCATTCATTACATAAGGAAGGTCACTGGCACTATCCATGTTGGCACTGACTTCACATACGCCATGTCTCATATAGCCTTCTATACATTATCCTTTCTTTTTTAATCCCCGAATCCAAATGGTATCTGAAAACTTGGCATTTTTAGCCCAACAGCCTGTAGCTTCATGCGATTACCAGGAGCATCCTTAAACAACATGTTCAGTGTACCAAAAAGAATTCGTCTGCATGCTGATTGTGTATAGTCCAGTCCTTTCTCTGTACTATTGATTTGCTGTCAGTGAGTGCATACTTAACAAAATCTCTATTCAATGCACTTTTGTATATTGTGAAATTTGGTAAGGGGCCAACTTTCCCTGAAGGCTTTTTGGGTTGACCTGTTTTTCATTAGCCAATTATAAGCATATCCACTTTTAGGATCAGAAGCATTAAAACCTCCAGAGACAATATTGTTACCTTTAAGTTCGACCAACTTCTTTATAATGTCCTTATATATTAGTTATCAATGGTATTTCAGGTAAATATAATGTTAGTACATGCTTCCATGGTGTAGTTACTGTCAGTAGTTTACTGAGACAACTCAAATGTGCATCCAGAATACTAACACTTCCATAGTATATCAGACTATCATCATCATTGGTGATGATGACAATGACAGTGATTTTGATCAGTAGACTCCAATAATATCACATTATGTGTGGGCACATTATAGAGATACGTGATACTTAAGTTACAGTTTATTTAATAATAAAACTCCTTATTTTAGAATAATAATAAAAATAATAATGATCCTACAACTCATCATGATCAACAAAAGAGTATCGTGAATTTGCAGGTTTAAGTTTTTTAAATGTGCTTTCAGGTGGCTGCTGGGTATCTCCACTGTCTCTCTTCTGTTCCTCTTTTGGAGGTTGACGAGGCTGATATTGAAAAGTGGAATTTTGATGTAAAACGCGAAGTATTGAGTCAAAACTTACATCTGGTCCGTGGTGAAATTCCCGATGAAGTTTCCCACTGTGTAAGTCCTCAACAAACTGATTTAATGCTCCAGGTACACTGAGAGGGGGACGGGAATAAAAGCATACTTGAAATATTATGCATACTGAATATCATTAAAGTTTGGAAATATATACATGTGACGAAAACTATCAATGGCCAGTACAGGAAGATCCTAAATAAAAATGATAATTATATAAAGCCATGTTGTGCACAGTAACTTTTTTAGATTTCCCAAGATGACTCAATGGATGTGCAAACTTAATACCATCAGCAGTAACAAAATTAACAGATCCTAAAATATCCAACAGTAATATAGATACTAGTTACTACTTATGTACCTTTGTGTCTCAGTAATTCTTCCTCTACTCTCCTTTTAAACACAGCTTTAATGTCAGGGTTATCAGGATGATAGAACAAAATGAAAAAAGGAAGTCCTTCTTCAGTTAGTTCCTAGTGAGGGTGGCACCTAATATATCAGCCAGTGCAACAAAATAACAATTACTTCTCCATTTTGGAATGTGATTTCCCTAACAAGTGGAATACAGTGTTCAGATAACCAACTCTGAACAGCCTGATGGGACGTCATATCGCCATTAAATTGCTGGTCAGTTGACTAATAAATGCAACATAAAACAACAAAAAATAAATAATCAAAAACCTACCCCAGACTGCTCTCGAAATGTAAGTTGAGGAGCACTTGTGTCACTATAAATTAGAAACAAATTGAACATAACAGTTTAGTGAATGAGACTTTACCTGCTAATAATAGCAAAGAACCTGCATTCATCTTTCAAACTAAATGCTATCTGTTCAAAAAAATAATTGCAATGTATCTCTTAAAACTACAAACCTTATTAAAATTTTGATACTCAATTGATTCATTTGTGGCAAAGAAACCAATAGCAGCCTTTGTATTTCCTTCTACCTATATGCATGCATTAGTTTTGATTAGAAAGGCTAGTAGTTAGCATACAATCATTAGATCACCTTTTCCAAAGCTGCTGCATAATTAGAAACGAAATGGACAGGACTTTCAATCTGTTTCTTGACAAATGAAACTAATGCTTCAACAGTTCTCTATTCACGAAATAAATGCATCAAACTAATGTCCTTCATTGACCTACCTGGCCCCTATATTCTTTCCTGATCAACTACGACAGATTCGTTCATAATGAAGATATAAGTTACACGTTATAATTAACTCACTTCACCATTTCGTATGATCTTAATAGTTGGGTATTTGGTAATACGAAAGTCTTGCATACAAAATATTCCTAAATCAATTCTATCAACACACGAGTATTCACTTAAACTAAACTCACTGTCTCTCTCGCAATCAACTTTGACCAGCACAGCTTCATTCTAGAAAAGATCACATTGGAGTTTTAATTTTATGAAATAGAGTAAAGGCACTAGTTACATGCATGCACATGTACATGAGGCACATAACTACCGTATAGCAGGAAATTTTGGAGGGAATTAAATTTGATAAATTTGGCGTTTTGATAGCCATTTGCCAAAATAAAATCCGCAATTTTGAGCCTTTATACGCATGCTCAATAGCATGTGGCCACTAATTCGCCAAATTAAAATCCGCCAATAACTAAAATTTAGCAATTCGCCAAATTTTACTCCATCCAAAATTTCCCGCTATATGGTATTAAAAATTTAAATATAACTACAAGAATGTAAAGGGCTCTGCCTCCTAGTCACACTCAGACATACATGTGTACGTACATGTACATGCACATACAGAAATATACATGTACGACCCTCTCATAAAACCAGAATCAACTCTATTATTCTACATGTATGTACATGTACATGTCAGACCTGGAGTCAATTACAAATCTAATTCTAATTAGAGGTTCAATTACAATTACAATTACATAATTTGTAATAGTAATTAAGACTAAAGCCTGAACAAAATTTTCATCAAAATTGTGTTGTCATTATGTCATACATGTAAGCCCCGTTTACACTATGCCCTGAAAGAAGTTTAAAACTGCATGGTTATAAATAAACCAGTTTATGTGTGGATAATTTCAATGCAGTTTCAAACCTGCTTATCTAATTGGTTTCAAACCACTGAGGTAGGTGGTTTGAGATAATCAAACTGGTTTAAGTACCGAAAGTAGATGTATATGTACATGCATCACTGAATTAACCAGTTACATTTGGACACAAATATTCTGGCTTCTGAACCACTTAAGTAAAAAGTGGCTTGTGGTATAACAGGGCTACAGTGTACTGACTACCAATCAATACAGATGCAGGGAAAATGCTCTCAATCTACCTCAGTAACATTACATGATCATACACTGTATATGTACATGTAACATATATGGAAGTGTGACAATCAGGGTCCCCAGTAGAGTGCTCAGCACTGGCTAGCTCATGAAGTGTGCTGCTTAGCTTGCTCAGTAGAGCTTTGTAGAAAACCCTCATCCATGGTAATTCATCAAAAATGGCTATAAAGGAGAAAATTCTCCATTTTGTCAAAAATCGCTAGGAGAGATTCTCCATTTGTTACATTTTCTGATGCACATACATGTACTTATAGTGTGTAGCGGATTCCAATCAAAATTGGATTGTCAAATACCATTACAGAGTCATTGACCAAATTTCGCCAAAAAATGACGAGGAGAGAATTTACAATTTTTATAATTTTTAAAATACACATACATGTACATGTGCTTAATGATTCCAATCGAGATTAATTTTTTTGGAATATTTTAAAGTTGCTCCAGAATCAGGCCAAAGCTAGAGTCTAAATTGAATTTTTTATAAACTTTAAAGCTAGTAAGCTACTCCAAAAGGCATGCACTATTGCTTGTAACCTCATGAATTGTGCTGTTTAGTTCACTCATGCAGACACAGGAAGCCCCAATGACAATAATTATATTATTACTTCTATGACACAACTAGTACTTCCACAGTTCAACAGCAGTCACCACTCCTAAACCAGCACTTTTCTGTTTAAAAACAATCCATGTTTCTGTTTCATGCAAAAACATCATTTTACTTAACATGGCATAATTATAATAGAGTCTATTTCTACAAAAGGAGTGTAATTAATGATTGAGGTTTTTCCAGGTCTGGTACAGTCAAGTGTGTTGCAATAATGATCTGATAATACACAGTATATATGTACATGTACATTCAAATGAACATTCAGCAATTAAAAGAAAAATAGTTTTAACCAGGTGCCTTCTGTAAAGTACTAACAATTTTCAGGCCATTATAACTACCAAAAAATCACTTCTACACTGCCATACTATAGCCATCACATTTCATTTACTAAAAGTACTAGCTGTTATTTGAACCAGCAGTGCAGGGTATTTTTGTGAATGGGGATACATAGAAGAAAGCTTAATTGTTTGCACAAAAGAAATTTGACACTACTAAGAGAAAGGTGTAGGAAGATTAATAATGATTAAGTGATAAGTAATAGGTAAACTCAATACAAGAACAATATAATATATACAAATGAATGTTATAGCAATAAGGAGGAGACTAAGGCTGAGTCCTATTATCCCATATTGGAGGGGGCCCCGGCCCAGTTCATACTTCCTATGAGCATAATCTCGTCAAAAAAATAATAAAATTTTTGTCCATAAATAAGAATGTAAGTTATGGTATTACTCTAATTAATGTTTGAACACAGAGGATATTCAGCCAATCGCATAATAATTAAAATGCAGCCACATAAAAAACTACTGATACAAACAAGTGATACATGAATAATTATTAAATCTACACATACAATAAGAAAATAAATATACAATAGCCTATTTATGATATACACATGCATTACACTGTAACTGGGATACATGTATCTTTCAGTTATTATTGCTGACACATGTAATGTTGCTATACTATTCATGTTTCCATTGTTTACAACAAAAAGCCACTGCGATAACTCAAAAAATAATTGTTATAGTGGCATGAGATAATGATAGTAAAACAAATAGTGAAAGCACTCTTGATTTGCATTTGTGGGTTATTTATTAATGCTTTCTCGTGTTTAGTACAATACCAATGCTCTAATTGATTACATGTACCTTTTATAAACAAAGATAACACCAAAGGCACCACTAATGTACATGTACATGTATTAACGTTAACTGGCAAAGGAAGAATAATAAACAAGGAAGAACAATAAACAAGGTATGTCCATTATCACAAATAGCTACACAAGTGATGTAATTGTATAAATTGATGCCTTAATTTTTTAGTAATTTTCACAAAGCTTAGGGCCGAGCTTAAGGCTAAGGCATCAAAAGTTATACTTACAGTTTCTGCTGCCACTTGATCAGCTGCCTTATCATACACAGGCTTGAGAGCAGCACTATATCGACACCAATCAGCATAAAAATTTATCAACATTAACTTCTTGCCAGCTTCAGAGAATAGATAGGGGATGTCAGTTTACAACCAATAGACACGTTACCTTTAAATTGCTCCATATTACTCCTACTAAGAAACTCGGCATCACCATTACAAGCAAGGAATTCTAAAAAAAGTATCTACAGACAAAATTTGTACATCATGTATATAAGAAACATACAAAGATCAAACCCAGAGAGTGGGAAACGACAGCCATTATGAAAATGGGTTGAACAAAAATCAAATTTAATTTTAACCCCTCATCAATCAATCGTGGGTGTAGGCATAGATATTACAATTACACCCAATATCGTGGGTGTAATATCTATGGTGTAGGCTTAGACTATAGTTCCATGAATTATAATGACCATTAATGATGGTTAAGTAGGGTATAATTTAATTTAAGTTATGTTAGGCTAATTCTATTCTTCCTCCGGAATATTTCGGTTTTTCCTTGAAATGGCCTGTCCTCATAGCAGCTGCAATGTCACCTGATGAACACTTTTGAACAGGGAGAGAGAAAGTAAACAAATATAATAATAATTATTATTATTACAATTATTATTATTATTACTGTTGTTGTTGTTATTGTTGTTGTTTTTACTCCAGTTGTGCTTCAGGGGTTATCAATTGTTTGGATTGTATTCATCAAATGAAGAAACAACTGGTCAAACCATCTGGCCTCTATCTTAAATAACACTAGAACAAGTAAAATAAATAAATAAACAAATAAATAAATAATAATAATATTCTTTCTCTACCCTAGGCTGGTTATTTTTTAGGTAACTGTAAAGGTAGAAGTCACAATAACCTCATGCACAATGTACACATATCCAATGTAAGTGTATATGTACATGTACATTGTATGTGTATTATGAATGTATGGCTCATATTCCTTCATTCATTCATTTATTATTTTATTTATTTGTTCATAGGAGATGGATGATCTCACTCTACAGTCCCATATTCGTGATACCCTGGTACTGACTAACCCGAGGGAGTATCCCTCAAGGCACTGGAACCTCATACTATCACTATTGCATGTGAGTGGACACTATAATAATGAAGCTCCTCTATAGTATTACCTTATAGCGAGAAATTTTTGTGGCCCAAATTTTTCACAGATCCATCTAAAAATCAATTTTGTGGCTTTAATTTTCATCGTTTTCTACTTTTTGGTCATCTTGAACCATATAAAATTGATTTCCACAGATTTTATTTTTGTGAATTTTGAAAAATCGTGAAATTCACGAGAATTTTAGGCCATAAAAATTTCCTGCTATACGGTAATACTATTTATTAATTTATTAATTTATAATTCTATAGCATCCTTATTTATACACTGTGTCCCTCACTGAAGAGAGTAACTGCACCAAGTGAGAGAGAGAGGGAGGAGAAGAATATTTTATATTCTCCTAATTTTTATCTTCATTGTATGTTTTTACGTACATGTAGTTTAACTAATTTCTTCAAACCTAGTTCAAGACAGTATTCATCTATTGTCTATTCATTGTTTAACAGTAAGAAATACTCATCTGTTGGACTCCAGCTTATCAAATACCTGAGCAAAATGGAAGGAGTAAATGTTTATTAATAATTATAATAGATTGGGTGGGGTTTATTGCAGATTCTTATTAAAGACATCGTTGATCCACTAGGACAAGTAAATGAAATGAATTAATATTTAAACACCTACACAGTACATGTACAGTATAGTCTCTCTTAATGGACACTCTCTATAGCGTACACCTCCATTTAACGGACAGCACCTAGTGTGCCAATTACATTCCTTACTGTATAAAATAATCTCCACATAAAGAACACCTCTGTATAACAGAGACACTTTTTTGACCCAATATGTCCATTATATAGAGGCTACACTATTATTATGATGGCTCCTCTTTATTATTTAATTGTGTAGTTAACTGCTTCTAAAGTGACAACTGATATTTTCTCCCCCAGTAGTACCTCTCATAGAATGTCTCGTGATTATTTCCTATTAATTGGTGCAGTCTCATTCCACAACAGCTCATTATTGCTCAGCCTTGGGGCATATGGACCGTAAGATAGAGAGAGAGAGAGAGAGAGAGAGAGAGAATAGATTATAAATTTTTAATTGTTACATGTACATGTATGTATACATATGCATGATGTACATAGATGTATGTACACGTACATGCATATAATTCATTTTTCATTGCGTGTGTGTACTGGTTTTAGTGTTTTGGCTGTATTCTAGGTTTAATCTAGTAATTTTAACTTTTTGTTTTGTTTTAGCTTATACAGACATCTATGCATGTATGTTATATGCATATCACTTTAAATGATCCAATCATTAAAGTCACTACAATCACTACACGCACACTAAAAGTGGATAGACTGATACACATTGTACCTTTCCTCCCACAGTATTCTTGATATTTGCAGTATTACCTATAGACATGATCTTCACAAGTTGATAATATCATCACTTGATTTCTCTCACGATAACTATTCTAAGCCAATCCTACAGAAACTGCTTAATGGATCTGATGGAGTAAGTCCATACTTAGTAGTAGTAGTAGTAGTAGTAGTAGTGCATGCATTATTATTGTTGTTACTATTATGTGTACTAGTACGTGCTAAGAAATTGTAATACTAAGAAACCATTTACATGTATATGACAACCTATAGCCATTAAGTTCAATTTGAAACTATCATGTTTTCTACTGATTGCTATGGAGAAGTCCTAATGGAGTCTATTCATTATGTACTATCATACCTTCCTTTAGTCACAAGATCTTGAATATATTTAAGGTATCGCCCATTTTTTGTGTTTCTTTAAATCCTTCCCTTCTCCTCAACACTTGTTTTTCTCATTCATTCCAACTTCTTCATTTTTTATCGTTTGTTCTTGCTCTATCTTCATTTACCCTCTTCTACCTTTATCTCTCTTCACTTTTTGTTCTTGCTTTACGTACACAATTTTATTCTTTTCTTGAAATGGCAACCAAACCATCTTCATCTTCTTCTCTTGGTCTTCTCAAACTGAAAGAACAACTCACCTGTCCTGTGTGTCTTGACCACTATACCAACCCTAAGACTTTACCTTGTCTACATTCATTCTGTGAGCACTGTCTAGTGAAATTACCTCTGGATAAAGAGAATGAGATCTATTACCTCTCTTGTCCCACTTGTCGTCATTGTACAGAGTTACCAGAAGAAGGAGCAGGAGCCTTTCCTGTAGTTCATGTAAACAACCTCAAAGAGATATACAGTCTAATGAATAAAGTAGCTGATGCTCAACAGTTCACCTGTGAAAACTGTACTACAGCTAATTCCAGTGGATACTGCAAAGACTGCACTCAATTCCTATGTACAGAATGTATCTCTATGCACAAGAAATGGGCTCTTTTTGCTAACCATTAGGTGACAAGTCTTGACGAGGTGATAGCCTCTGATTAGCTTCGCGTAGCCAGACCCATCCCCCTTTTTGACATTTGGACGGCCGTCCAAATGTCAAAAAGGGGGATGGGTTTGAATATGCAAGATTAAACTTAAATAGCACCGCAATATCCTAATAACTAGGAGAAGAATAAGATGTGTAGAATCAATATTGTAGTATGATGCACAAAAAATTAAATTGTTATTAAAATTGTTATTACTTTCATGTATTATATTCCTTATATGCTACATTCTGCATCTTATTCACCTTTAATGTACTTGCCACAAAATGCAAACTTAAAAAATTCAACCAAGTTTGCATCAACTTCAAATTGTTTTTGTCTCAAAAAGTCAGATTACCTGTGCAATTTTTGACCATGAAGTTGACTATAAACCTAGTAGTAGTTGGTAAATTGAAATTTATTTTGTACTATCATAACTTGCTTTAGTCACAAGATCTTTGAATGTATGTAAGGTATCGCCCACTTTTTGTGTCTAGCTGACCTTCTTTAGTCTTTCTCTTCTCCTTCCACCTTCTTCATTTTGTTTTGTTGTTTCATCTGGTCATTAGGACTCTCTCTCATCACTCATTCACTGCCTTCCCTTCTCCTCCTCCTCTTCTACTTTGTTTGACATTCTCACTCATTAATGTAAATTCACCAGGCAGGCCCCACCGGGCTACTTTACTACTAGTTGTTATGATAAAGGAATGTACCGTACTATCATAACTTCCTGTAGTCATGTACTATCATAACTTCCTGTAGTTACGAGACTATAGAATATTCCAAGCAGTCATCAGGGCTATCTTTCCCCAGGCTACTCTCATTTTCGTTCATTTCAAGTTCTTCATTTTCTTATAATTTGTTCTTGCTCTATCTTCATTTACCATCTTCTACCTTTATCTCTTTTCATTTTTCGTTCTTGCTTTATGTACACAATTTTATTCTTTTCTTGAAATGGCAACCAAACCATCTTCTTCTCCTGGTCTCCTCAAACTGGAGGAACAGCTCACCTGTCCTGTGTGTCTTGACCACTATACCAACCCTAAGACTTTACCTTGTCTACATTCATTTTGTCAGCACTGTCTGGAGGGATTACCTCTGGATAAGAAGAATGAGACCTATTACCTCTCTTGTCCCACTTGTCGTCATTGTACAGAGTTACCAGAAGAAGGAGCAGGAGCCTTTCCTGTAGCATTCACTCTCAACAACCTCAAAGAGATACACAGTCTAATGAAGAAAGTAGCTGATCCTCAACAGGTCACCTGTGACAACTGTACTACAGCTAATTCCAGTGGATACTGCAAAGACTGCACTCAATTCCTATGTACAGAATGTATCTCTACTCACAAGACATGGGCTCTTTTTGCTAACCATCAGGTGACAAGTCTTGATGAGGTGAAAGCCTCTGATGTCTCTTCTACTTCTCAATTGATAGCTTCAGCTAAACAGGAGGCAACCCTCACTTGCTCTGTACCTGGTCATGAAGATTCGTTAAGGTATTACTGTGACACATGTGATGAATCTATCTGTCGTGATTGTGCTATACTGACTCATAAAGATCACAAGTATAACCTAATAGCTGATAGTTTTACTAAACACAAAAAAGCACTGGAGAAATCTCTTAATCCAGTA